AAAAGGGGGGGGGGGGGGGGGGGGGGGGGTACTCATGTATCGTATACCTTAGTTGTTAGACCACTGACCTAGGGCGTCGGTGTCCTCTCGTTAACGATGGTAGCGGACACGCAACCACGAACAGAACAAACGTACCTCTTGCACGACGGCTCCGTCGATCCCTCTCCCCCCTCGCCACCTCCCTCTTTCGCCCCGGTGTATTGACAGCCGGGCTCATACCTGCCCCCCGCCCCGCCGCCTCCGAACTGCCCCCAGTCCGTCGCGCCTCCGACGCCGTCGCCACTCTTCACGTCCCCTAACGCGGACAACGATGCATTGCGGCCGTCGCGAACAGCGGGGTCGGAGGTCTCGCTGTCTTCCCTGCCGCCTCTCGTACCCGACATGGACCGTCGGTACAAGGGCCGCTCGCTCTTCCAGCTCCTCACCGGGGGCCGTTGCCGTTGCCGCTGCCTCTGTTCTACGCTGCCACCCGTACGGCCATCACCGCTGCCGCCGCCGCCGGTGCTTGGAACTCCCGACACCGCCGACGGCAACAGCGACGCGTGGATGGGGTTAAACTGACGCCGTGCCGAAGCGGAGAGGAACGACGGGGACGCCGACGATGCCCTCGACTTGCGGGCGGCGGCGGCGGCGGCGCCACCCCGCCCCTCTGTGTCCTGCGCCTGCTGCCCAAATGGCGGCTGATGCGGTGCCACCGTTGGCGGCGGTAACCGGAACTCCTCGCTTGTACAAGTGGTATCGCCGTCGTCTCCGCCGTGGTCTAGGCTCTTCCGGCCCCTCGGTGGTGCCGCCGCCGGTGTCATACCCCGTCGGCTGCGTTCAGAAGGCGTCGCCCTCCCGCTGTTGGCATCGACACCGCCACCAGCGGCATGACTACCATCTGCGTCGCCTCCAATTCCCCCTTCTTCCTCCGCTTCACAGGACGACACATCGTCGTCGCTGCCAGCGTCCGCCTCTCCCTCGACGCCGCCGTTACCGTTACCGTTACCGTTACCGATGACGGCAGCAGCGACGGCCACATCGGCGGCGACGGCGATGGTCGGGTACGGCGGCAAGGAGGGCAGGGCGCAGGGGGACCTGCTGACGCGGGGCGTGCCGGGGGCGGACACGGATGGCCGGCCTCGGGCGTCGTCCTCGTCGTAGCCGTCCTGTCAATGGCAAGGTGGAGAACAAGCACACACATCGTGACACAGATGTCACATATCTACGAAGTCCGAGCGAAAGCATAGAGGACAACAACATCAACAACAATTCAGCCCGTCGTAACCGTCCTGTCAACGGCAAAGCAGAGAAGAAGCACACCATGTAGCAAGAAAACAAGAACGAGGAAGATTGAACAAAGCAGGCGGACGCTTTTTACAGCTGGGCACGACCGATCCCAAAACCTGAAACACCTCCCACGTGTGTACCTGGAGTTAACCGTCCAAGAAGACAACACAGGGAGCAACCATTCAAAAGATATCAACACCGCTGGGGGGGGTGTAGTCATGAAAGCGCATGTAGTCGTTAGACCATAGACCGGGCGATATGCCGGGTTTTCGCCGGCCCAGGCTAATTTACGCTGGAGAAGATTAACCAGAACCTTGTCATCATCCTTGCGTTTGCTGCACCGATCCAGATACATATGCCATGGGAAGGTTGGGCCTCCCTGCTAACCGTATGTTTCACACTCGGCCAGCACTCAAGTACCGCAAGGGACTTCGATCAAAGGGGGGAGGGGGGGGGGTACTCATAGTAGTGCATGCCGTAGTCGTTAGACCATTGACCTTGCATCCCTACAAAGCCGGGACGGAGCACGCCGGGTTCTCACCGGACCAGGCTCTCACATCACCAAGCGCGAAGCGCCGTGAGGTATTCGGCGAGTCGCATGAAGGGTGAGCTGCATCCTGCTAAGGGTGGTCGGCATCTTGTGCTTACTTCCTTGTGGACGGATGACAGCTGCGTATGACTTAATTTACTTTCTGGTGCTTTCACTTCCATAGACAGTTGTAAGCACTGTGTAACTGCCTCGAGGATGCTTGACCATTTTAACACAAGGTGGTGCGATCATCCCCCTTGCGCGGAGTGAGGGTTCTCCACCCCGCACAACATGATGTACTCGACCACCACTATGGTTACCGCCAAAAAAAAAACAGAGGCAAAAAATCAACAACGGTAACCTGGTTGCCGAGTTCACGAGGTGAATTGGCTTGTTTTACAACGTCGTTGCCAAGCGACGAAAACCCAATCCCGATGGCAAACACCAGGGGGGGCGGAAGGGGGGGAGGGAAAAAAAATATCTTCGCCCACGCTCTCACCCTTTCCGAGTCGGCGAAGTCGTCGTCCCCGAACAGCTGCAGGAGCTTTATGAACATGTGCAGGAACACAACCACGAACGTTCCCGGACCCCCGAACCCGCTAGACTGGCACAGCTTCACCGACACAAACATTGCCACAGGCCCTGCATCCAGGAAGACGCGTACCGCGTGACGTGGCCGGGGGGTGTGATAGTGAGAGAGGGAAAGGGGGAACACATGCGAAGAGGGGTACTGGGTGGGGGTCGATCGGGGCTACATATTGCCACAACGTTCATGCACTATTCAGACCACACACGCCCTGTTCTCCCGCCGTCGAAAGCACCGGGACAGCTCCGCATCTCCATCATTTGTTGCCGTACTGCTGAGTCCCCTCCCTTCCTCAAAAACACACACAAATAGCAGTCAAAAACTGTGGTGGTCGCAGATGAAACTTCGACCCATCATCTGTTCTTGTCACTCATTGAGGGCTTAACGTTGGGACGACCACATGGTAGATTCTTCACGTATCAGCGGGGATCACGAAGGAGTACGGGGTGGTACAGGAATTGTTTCCTATCAAAAATAAAAGAAGATTGATATTGTCGATTGAGAGTTTTCCCCGTTGTGTCTTGTTTCGGAAGGTACATACCATACACCACACTCATTTCTCATCAAAACCCCCAAGACAACAGCAACAGCAACAACAATTCCCAACAGCATGCCCACCTCCGACGACGACAAGGCCGACGGACATCTGTAGGGCGGCGTTGACGGTGGTGTACAGGGCCACGTAGAGGATGGGGATGACGATGGTGAGGATCGTGAGCTCCTGCTGGGCCTGGATAAAGCCCATTGTGGGGGACGCGCATCCCCTCAGAAAGAAAAACGTGACGGCCACAATAAAGCTGCAACACACACACACACATACGCACGGGGGGAAAACGTCGAAGAAAAAGGTTACTTCCACGACGAAGCTAAACAGAACATACACACGCATGGGAAAAAAACGGTGCAACAACACGTAAAACAATCAACATTTGAGTTTTATGGGGTCGTGACATTCTACAACGTGGACAGCGACAACGTTGATAACACAACAACAAGCACTGCTGTTGTAATACTACAAGAACATCGTCCTTTATAATATAAAAGCACGTGTGACCTCAAAAGAGTGGAGGTTGTTCCAACAAAAAAGCCAAACCGAAAAAACTCTCACCTCGTCTTGAGGTTCTGGAAGAACGACCTCAGCTCCCGGTCCTTAGGGACAGCCGATGACGCGTTTCTGCACAGGACGTACGCGATCATCACCACCCACAGCGTCCACGCCAGGATAATGTACAGCCCAGATTCCTGCGTGGGGGCAGTGCAACGGTGTGCGTGAGAGGTGGCTGCACTAGAAAGTGGCGGAGGTATGCGCGATTACGGCCCAGATTCCGGCTGGGGGCAGCAAAACGGGGCGTGTGATGAGCTGCACTTGAGTCTTGGAGGTATATAATTGTCATTCATGCCCAAAGTCGTGCTGTGCCCAGCATCACGGGCCCTGCCTCCCATGGCATCCATTGTAGAGCCAGTCGTTGAGGATCAAAGTGTGCACGAGGTCGTCCTGTGTTCGAAGGCCACCGGCCCTCCCTCGCACCCCTAAGAAGTCGGTTCGGAGCACGACGGGATCTTCGCCGACCAGGCGATCTGTCGACCCAGCGGGGAGAGCGAACCGCCGGGGGTTGAAGGAGGCGTTTTTCAGCCAAGTCATCGCCGTCGCCGCCGCCGCCACCGTGGGGAAAGAGCGAGCCGCGGCTCAAGATCCGGCGGACGTTCCTCCGACGCAAGTTGTCTCTGCTTCTCTCTTCACACCGCACTACAACGGGCTGTGTATGATTGATTGTTGTTGTTGTTGTTGTTGTTGTTGTTGTTGTTGTTGTTGTTGTTGTTGTTGTTGTTGTTGTTGCTGCTGCTGCTGCTGCTGCTGCTGCTGCTGCTGCTGTTGTCTTCCCAGTAAAAAAATGCACGCACGGCGTTCAATTTTATCCGGTGTGCTTGCTTGCCGGTATGGGGCTTCGCTTCCTCAGCGAGAGGCAGCCGTGGAGAGAGGTACATGTATGGACACGCTGCGTGGTGCAACCGTCCGCCTTTTGGCTGGGTCGGGGTCGGTCACATCCGCCCCGCACAAGCATGATCTAACTCAAGCCAGAAGGTGAGCAGCGGCAAAAAAAAACAAACAAATGGTGTGAGGCACCGTACCGGAAGGATGGGCCCGAACCACGTAAAACCTATGGAAGGGGAGTTTGCGGGTGTAGCGATCGGGTTTAGGCACTACTCTGCTGTGGCGGCTGGATAAGTGAATCCATGCCGTGTGGGTGCTCTCTCAAGTGGCCGCGCCAATAGGATGCTGCTTTGCCACGGAGGCGACGCGTAGGCATTTATAGCATCGGGTACCTTTTCACGCCAACAAACAGCAGCAGCAACAACGACGACGATGAAGATGACGACAACGGCATGAAGAACAACCCCCAACACCCCATAACACAGCTTTCTTGGCAACAACAACAAAATCAACAATGATGAGCGACGACAACAGCATCAAGCAACAAACAACAACCCCCAACACACCAGAAGATAACTTCTCGCAACGACGACGGCAGCATACAGAACAAACAACCTCCCCCCCTCCCCCCCCTGTTCCCTAAATCGGAATATAGGTTGGCGTCGGGTGGCACCGCGCCGTAAAATAGCCATCAAACCCTAGACATGAAATAATTGTACTTACCGACTTTTCTTTGCCCATTCCAGTACACAAACCTGATATAGACATGAAATAACGGAACTTACCACTTTTTATTTACCATACCATAACACGAAGCTGGCGTTAGACATGAAACTACTAGACTAACCAGTTTTTTTTCACCAGACCATAACTTAATAGTATAAACCTAGAATCCCCCCCCCCCCCAACTAGCTTCTTACACCTAGAACCGATCCCCAAACCGTAACCGAACCCCCCTGGAAAATAGACCCCCCGCCTCTCTCCCTTTTATTTTTTACCATACGATATCACGAAGCTGGCAATAGACATGAAACTACTGAACTAATAATTTGTTTTTCCATTCCTGAAACCAAAGAATACGAATAGACATGAAACTACTCATCTAACCATTTTT